ATTATATTTATCTGTGTACATATGTGTGTGTATACTTTTGTGTGTATGCATGTGTGCCCGTGCGCGTGTGTGTGCATGTATGTGTGTATGCATGTGTGCCCGTGCGCATGTGTGTGCATGTACGTGTGTATGTGTGTGCCCGTGCGCATGTGTGTGCATGTACGTGTGTATGTGTGTGCATGTACGTGTGCCCGTGTGTATGTGTGTGCATGTACGTGTGCCCGTGCGCATTTGTGTGCATGTACGTGTGTATGCATGTGTGCCCGTGCGCATGTGTGTGCATGTACGTGTATGTGTGTGCATGTACGTGTGTATGTGTGTGCATGTACGTGTGTATGTGTGTGCATGTACGTGTGTAGGTGTGTGCATGTACGTGTGTATGTGTGTGCATGTACGTGTGTATGTGTGTGCATGTACGTGTGTAGGTGTGTGCATGTACGTGTGTATGCGTGTGCATGTACGTGTGTATGCGTGTGCATGTATGTGTGTATGTGTGTGCATGTACGTGTGTATGTGTGTGCATGTACGTGTGTATGTGTGTGCATGTACGTGTGTATGTGTGTGCCCATGCGCATGTGTGTGCATGTACGTGTGTATATGTGTGCCCATGCACGTGTGTGCATGTACGTGTATATGTGTGCCCATGCGCATGTGTGTGCATGTACGTGTGTATGTGTGCCCATGCGCATGTGTGTGCATGTGCATGTGTGTTTGTGTGTGCATGTGTGTGTGTATGTGTGTGTTTTTGTGTGTGTGTGTGTATGTATGTGTGTGTTTTTGTGTATGCGTGTATGTTTGTGTGTTTGTGTATGCATGTGTGTTTGTGTGCGTGTATGTGTTTGTGTGCGTGTGTGTGTGTGTGTTTGTGTGCATGTGTGTTTGTGTGTGTGCACGTGTGTTTGTGTGTGTGCACGTGTGTTTGTGTGTGTGCATGTGTGTTTGTGTGTGTGCATGTGTGTTTGTGTGTGTGCATGTGTGCATGTGTGTTTGTGTGTGCATGTGTGTTTGTGTGTGCATGTGTGTTTGTGTGTGCATGTGTGTTTGTGTGTGCATGTGTGTTTGTGTGTGCATGTGTGTTTGTGTGTGTGCATGTGTGTGTTTGTGTGTGTGCATGTGTGTGTTTGTATACATGCATGTGTGTACATGCATGAGTGAGTGTGTACACGTGCATGAGTGAGTGTGTACACGTGCATGAGTGAGTGTGTACACGTGCATGAGTGAGTGTGTACACGTGCATGAGTGAGTGTGTACACGTGCATGAGTGTGTGTGTGTACACGTGCATGAGTGTGTGTGTACACGTGCATGAGTGTGTGTGTGTACACGTGCATGAGTGCGTGTGTACACGTGCATGAATGTGTGTACACGTGCATGAATGTGTGTGTACACGTACATG